GCTCTTAATGGATTTAATGCGTATAATTTGAATTAATGGCAGTCATAATGTTGATAAAAATAACGGTTTACAATTACTTAAGATTTTGAGTAAATACCGTCGGTCGGCAAGTGACCGATCGTGTTAGGCGGCAAATTGAAATCCGCCTATGCTGAAAGGGAGTAATTGGTCCAAATATGGTTGGTCCAAATATGGTCGGTCATCTTGGCAAGAGGTTTGACCGATTGATTCTGCAATAATTATTGCTTTGGTTGGTCAGTCGGCTGATGGGTTGACCTGTTTCATTGAGGGAATCATGGCTTACCTGTTGTTTGGCTCAAATCTTATAGGACCTATGTCTTGTCTGTCAGGTCGGTTTGTCGACTTGGTCAGATCTTCTCTCTTGTAAGGCCTTAGGTGGATCTTGTCACTACCTATGCGTAGTATTCAACGAGACTCGCTGTCGGGATGATTTGCGTCTTACCCTTGGCAGATCTTGTCTCTACTGGGTAGAGAATCATCTTTAGAGCTTTGACCCATCCCGGGTTTAGGTCAGCGGCTTCTCATCCTTGACATTGAATTGTTGGTTCGATCGCTTACTCCGAAGGAAAGTTTCGTCTTCTTGGCCATTATTTATGTTTGTGATCTGTGTCGGTAGCTCCGGTGTATACACTTTCATTAATATTCTCCATTGATACTTTTACTAGTGTTATCTATCTGTCTCTATTTAAGGATCTTATTCATTCCTTCTCTAACATAGATCTTATAACCAACTTTGTCCAATTCACTACTGCCTCTGTTTTATAGATAGATTGTTCTCCTCTTACAACGCTCGTAATCTCTAGGCAAGAATACCTTCAACTACTTGATTTTTTGTTTCTATTATATTCAAAACTTAACTTGACATCTTCCATGTTATCTTGAATTTGAGGTGAATGTAATCATATCAAAATTATCACATAGCATAATTTATTTATTGTAGAAATTTGCACTATTTATAATATATTTTTTCGTTTTCCATGCTAATTCCTTTTTTATATATTTTTCTTCAGTAGTTTCTTCTTGTTCATATGCATAACTGCTTGCATCCAAGGACAATTGACCAAATACATAGCCATCTACAATTCTCTCTTTCTTCTAACAAAAGCAAATGACCTTTTATAACAAAAGCTATAAAATTTATATTCGAACAAAAATGTGGTGAAATCTGAAACTGAAGTGAATTTCCTTTTCTTTTTCTTTTTGTTTTTTCTTAAAGGTTCCCATATTTGCCAGAGCTCAGGATCTCAATCATCTTCTTGATCTGAAAAAAGCAGGCGCAACTGATGCTGTGCTTGAAAATACGGAGGTAGATTTTGTAATCTGCTTTTTCAATGCATGCGCTTTTGTTTCATAGCGTTTCTTCTATAATTAATCAACTGTTCTATTACAGACAAGTCTGCAGCTTGGCTCAAAGCTCTTAAGAGGGCTAGGTTTAATGTCCGATGATGTCAATTTTTTGAGTCAGCTACTGAGAGATTCTATGGAACTTCAAGCTCAAGAGGGACTCACCAAAAGCATTGACCAAGTTTACGATGCCATGAAGCCATTGCAGGTAACCAAATATTAAAAAGGAAAAGGGAAATTTACATACATGCCTCATAATTCTTATTTATTCACATATCTAACACCTGAACTTTGATATTCCTTGGTGTCATAAGCCTATGCATGAAAAGATATATTTCACTTGAAGATAGTAATAGTGGTATTTTATAATATGAATGTTTTGGTGTTAGGTATGTACTGCATAAGAATTCTGTGGTATAAATGTAAATGCTGCTCCAAAAAAAAAAAGCGTACCATATGATAATATTGAGCTTAGCAGCTGAAATTTACACAACATTATCAGGTGAGAGTGACAGACATGGTACAATCAAATGGAAGCAGTAAATTAACAAAGCTCGATCTTCCAGACTTGCTTCATATTTCTACCACTGAAGAGTTGGAACAAACCTTGAATGAAACTTCAGATTTTCAATCTGAAATTTTAGATGCGGATGATGACTTGTCATGTAAAAATGAAGATGTTGACGCAGGAAGAGACGCACTGGATGGTTCCTTGTCATCTTCAACCGAGGTTTCCTAGGTAATTTTCATAATGTATAAATGTAATTTTGTCACTATTTCCGCATTGGGCAAAATAATCATTGTTCAATTCTCAGTAACATTATGTACAGATATGTGGATTTCACAACAATCAGTGGACCTTGTTACAACCCGTGGTTGAAAAAGAGGTATCTGTATGCAAAATTTCCTGCATATAATCTTATCAGACGGCTGATAACATTAGAGATGCAATCATATTCACTTCTGGCCGTTTGATTCACTCGGAATGATTTGTATTTTATCCATTTAAAGCATAGCAATTTTGAAAACAAAAATCAGAATAGAGTGAGCCCAATTGTTCATAGCATATCGGAGGTAATTGTAGCGATGTGTTTATTTCTTTATAACCATTTGATCTGTTTTGGATGGTTGTGATATATTTAATTAACCCAAAATTAAAATCATATTGAAATTTATCTCAGCCATTCAAAATGGGTTGGATGATTGGAGGGATCACTACCCCACTACTATTGCTGCTGTATGTTAATTTGAACTCATTTTAGCTCCTTTTTTTATATATATATACATAGAAACAGATGTAAAATAATCTTTAAATTCCCACCCATCAATGACTCAATATTAAGGCAATGTGTGTGTGTGTGTGTCTATATATGTATGTGTTCCGTGGCCTGTTGGTAGAGCAGCCTATCTGAAGGTCGTCAGTCCCCTCAGCCCGGAGAAAAATTTGCATACGTAAGACGTATGTGGCACTGCGTATGTTAGGAGGATATTGGAGGGTTATATCTGTGTTATACCTCCTGTAACCTCCATGTAATATATTTGTATCTTCTAGTAAGTTATTCATTTTTGTTTTCATATATTTGTAGATTATATGTAGGTTACAGGAAGGTTACAAGGTTTATAATGCAGATATAACCTCTCAATACCCTTGAAATAACCTCTCTGACGTACGCAGCGCTACGTACGTCTTACGTATGCAATTTTTTCTCCAGGTCCCGGGTTTGAATCACTTGGTGGTGCAATGTCGCATTAAGTCAGGTGATACTTGAATTATTTGCACATCGAGTCGGCCCCAAACCTAACGGGGGTTGAGCCCGTAGAGCGGGTTAGGCACCTCACGCCCCAGCCCATTCTTTAATATAGATATATTTATAACCCATTTAGTTGTTTGAAGTTTGAAAATATAGTTAAAATAGTTTTTGTATTACTTATCATTCAGTTAGATGTATTTAAAATGTTCATAAGTCGTCATAATCTCCTTCAATCATAATGATTTAATTTCCTCAAAACCAATCAACCAATAATTAATGAGGTTGGAACAATCGCAAGCAAGCGGAATCATAATGAAGGGGCACTTTCATACATACCATATAATTCTTATGTATTTACATATCTAACACCCTAAACTTTTATTTTTACATGGTCAGCATGCAAAGTTTAAAAAATCACAAAAGTACCTACTTTTAAAAATTTAATACACATTTTCATCCTAGCTTATGACGTCAAAATACTATAATTGTAAATATGAAAATTTAGGTGCTAGACATATAAATATATAGGAATTGTGTGGTATGGATATAAATTTTCTTATAATGAAAGGATGTTATCACTAATCCTTATATAAAATAAAATAAAATAAAATAAAACAAAAACCCACCATTTCTTCAGCAAGTATACGTATCATTTTTTTTTTTGTTGAATTTTAGTTTTTTTTATGATTGGTTTCTGAAAATTATTTTAATATTTCTATAAATTTTGGATGATTAAAATCATAAAATTATATTATTTTATTTTTTAAGTTAACCTATAATCTATTTGTGCAATAAGATTAATGATGTTTACTTTATTGACAAAATTATGTTTTGCTGAAATAAATCTCTTAAATAAAATAATGCAAGTTGAAGTCCACATTTAAAATAAATACACATTAAATTAAAAAGATAATCAATATTAAAATTTTATAGATCACTATAAATTTGAAAATTCCTTAATTAAATGACAATTTTCTGATCCATTTTAAAAGCTAATGTTAAACAAAAGATTTTTAATTCAATATATTTTTAAAAATAAAAACAGCATTATGATATTTAATATGCATTATTAAGCATAAATTAAAAATGATAATGGCATTTTTCGCAAAAAAAAAAAAAAATCAGAATGTTTTCTATATCAAAAGATACAAATATGATATGATGAGTTAGAGAAAGTGCATTCTAAATGAAATGATATTTCATATAAATTGTTAGACATCTAAATTTTGCCATCTTTAAAAATAAATTTTAGCATTATTTGTATTTGTAATTAAATGCCTTACAATTTATATATTAAATTTTTTTTTTTTTTTTTTTTTCATACATTTCTTTAAATTTTGATGACATTATTTTGGGGTTTATAAATATACCACTTAAGTTTTAAGAAAGTTAAATTTACATAGCATAAAATTTTTATGTATTTTTGTATCTCATATCAAACTTTTGATAGATTTTTACATGACATTTTGATGTTTTAAACTTAAGGGAAATATATATATTTCACTTCTAAGAATTGAAAATAGTGTCATTTTTTTTGTGAAGTTTAAGAGGAGTGCTATCTGGGAGCCAAGCTTAGCTACCACTATTCGTCTTTGGCTCATTTATATTTCGAACACAAAAATATGTTCGACTCGTTTGTTTAGCAAACTGGACACAGAGAAATTCAAAAACAAAAAATTGATTTGACAACCCTAATGACGTAATAGTAGAATGTTAAGAGTTGATGCGAGATTTAAATCTTATATTTTATAGTAAACATCATTTAAATGTAATTTAATATTTTTTTCTATTTTTTTAATTAATATTTTTAATTGATTATAAATTTATTCAGCCTTGTAGTTAATTAAATTTTATGTATTTAAGTATCTCATATCTAAACTTTATATTTAATTGCATAATATTTTGATGTTTTAAACTTAAAAGTGTGTGTGTGTGTATATATATATATATATATATATCTATATATATTTCACTTCTAAAAATTGATAATAGTCTTATTTTCTACTTAAAATTTAAGAGGAGTGTTGTCTGTGTTAATATGAGAAAAAAATTGCGTACAGAAGACCTACGCAGAGAAATTCGATGTATGTAATTTTACGTTTTCTCCGTTACCTGACAAAATTTCTCAATTGAGTGCGAGACTGTCATGAGAAAAGCGGCGCCTCTAGCGGCGGCGGTGTGGCGGCGCCGCCGCTTTCACGGTGTCTCGTTCCCTCTCCCCTTCCCTTCTCCTCACCTCATGACAGCTGACTTCATCGGCAGCGGTTGGGGCCGCCGATTGACCACAGCCCACTCTCGCAATCCCTTCGCGTTTATCTTCTCTCAGAATCAATTCTTTATCTCAAGGCATAGTTCCACTTCTCGCTATCCCCTCCATGGACGAACTGGTAAACCTCCTACAATCTTCATTCCTGATATCACAATCTCTTTTCACAATGAAAATAACTTTATTTCTCTGTAAATTCCTTGAAGAGTCGGAGGAGGAAGATTGGGGTGTTGAATGGGAGGAAGAGGAAGACAGAGAGGCTGGGGGATGTTAATTGTCAGATCAGTTTTTTTTTTTTTTTTTCGGTGGAAGTTATTGATTTGTCTTTGTTTTTAGGGTTTTATAAAGGATTGGTTTTGATGGATTGATTCAGATTGGCGATGGAGGGGATGGAGGGGGAATTGTGTTGGGAGATGAGAAGTGGGGTGAAAAAGCACTGTTTTTGGCTCGTGAGGTTCTTCTTAGCTTTGGGGATGATTTTGCTATTTATGCGTTTAAGTTGTCTGAGAAGGGCTACATCTATGTGAGATTGGATAAGCTTACGAACAGGTAAGAAACAGTATTCTTTGCGCTTATGTTAAAGCTTTTATTTTCTGCTTGATGGCTGTGGTTTGCATATCAATGATGTTAGTATTTTAGATTTTAAAAATCATTTGTTTTTTTAATTGGTTGATGCCTAAAGTGAACATAGTTTGTTTTCCTAAACTTTGGTATTTACATGTTCATAAAAACATGCATTTGACTTGTGCAGAATTAGTGGAAGTGATATTTTTTATATGATGTTAAAGATTTGATTTTTATAAATGTAAGTGTTAGAGTTTAGGTGTAAGATATGTAAATACATAAGAATTGTGGGGGATGCATGTAAATGTCCCTTTTTTATGATGAAACTTTGTCAATTCTTTTTTGTTGATTTCTTACGTTGCTAGCTATAATGTTTTCAAAGCACATATGAATCATAGTCCAGTTTTTAACTTGGTAGATATAATGCCCTCACAGCTCTACTCGCAATTTTGAATCATGGTATGGTCCGGGAAAGTGAAGGTCTAGGATTTTATCATTTTATGTAGGGATGTAATTGAAGTATAGCATGTAGGGATGTAATTGAAGTATAGCATGCATGAGGCTTTGTTTCGGTCATATTATCAGTTGTTCAACTTTTACTTGAGCTCGAGTCAAGCTTTCACATGTATGTTCATATTTGGCTTATTTTACTTTTTTAATAATCGTAGTTGGCATGTCTATATTAATTAATGTAGTACTTAAAGGTTTGCTTGATGACTAAGAGATATTTAACACCCAAATAAATTTCAGATTGGGTTCAAAGCATTCAGAGTTTTTGACATCAATAGATGGATCCTACTGAGCATATTAAGCTTAATTGTTAAGTAAATGGACTGATGCATAAAGTATTTTTGCAAGAGATTTTATTATCTTCATATTTTTAGCACCAAAGAAAGATGATTTTTATTGTTTTGTGTGTTGTTAGTCATGCAGTCAATAAGATCACTATAAAGTGCAGGTGTCTTATGCCTAGATTGGATAACAGGTAGCATGATAACCAGGTCATTATAATTTTGAAAAAATGATATGTACAGTAAGTATCACCAAATAATAATTCATCTTGGAGATGATGGAAAAAAAATCAAAACATCAAGAGATATATAGTTCATCATGCATTTTTGAGAATCTAAAGCACAAAATATTTTCATGATTTCGATGAATCAAGTGATTATTCTTTTTATTAGCAAGTTCTTGGTATACTTTCATACAAGTTAATTTATAGCTTGAATAAGATTAAGCATCTTCATCGCAATTACATTAAATGTTTCTTAAGTTTAGAAGTGAAAAGTTTTATATCAATTTTAAAAGGTCTAAATTTATGCAATAAAAATACTTTTTTTTCTTGGTTTTGTGATGCATTCTAAGAGACTTAAACTAGATTCCTAAAAAATTGAGGCAATCCTTGATTAGCGAACTTTCACTTCTATTTTTGATTTTATGAGTTTTCATGAGTCAGCTACATGCTATAGATAGTTGATTAAAAACCTCAATTCCATCTTTTTCTCCTTTCATAGATGCTTTTAAGAGGGATAACTCTGCTTTGACACTATTGGCTTTCAAAGTTTCGAGTAGAAAATATATCAATGACTAGACTTCCCAAGAACGTTCGAATTTTTTTACCAAAGTCAAGAACAATAACTAAACCTATACTTTGTGTCAATACATGATGTCTTCTCCTAAGATTGGCAGCCACATTTGTATCACTATCGAAGGAATCATGCATTCAACTAACACTCAAAAGATTGATAATTTGAAGAGATTTTATTCCAACCATAAGTTTTGAATTATATGCCTTCAGATTTTATTTATATATTGTTCATAACCTAGGCTAGTAAATAAGATTAGCATAAGAATATTCCCAATTTTAATTACTATCAGATGCTAAGAACTTAAATTTAAATTTCATAGTCTATGAACAACAATCAAACAAAGCATACTCAAATCAATCCAAATAATGGTAAAATTGCGACTTGCAAAATCATGTCCACATCAACGCCTCAATTCATAACTAATGACAACTAAAAAAACTCACCAAACGAAAAGGCAATCTCACAACTCCACAAGTTCATCTGCAAAGTAGCCAGCCGACATCTAAGTTGATGAATAAAGCCAAATTTATATTGCCATAAGCCAAATTTAGTATCAAAATGCCACCATTCCTCCAAGTTATAACAAAAAACTTCCAAACAACAACAAATCATTCAAAATCCACCATCTAAGGAATTTTGAGAATGCTAACATCTGCCTGATCATGACATGTCTCATCACTTTATCTAACTTTAAAATTTTAACTATGATGAATTAAGCTTTTTATATTCATAAAGCAAATTTGAACTTGAATTCTTGTGTTTTCTATAAAGTAACTTATCAAATCTTTAATATCACGCCAAAAATGGCACCGTTACCACTTTTTAAAAGTGAAATTCACCTTTTTCCCGTCGAACTAAAATATGAAGGTTTAGTTTTGAGATGTGTAAATATGTAAGAATTGTGTGCTAGGTATGTAAAGTTTCCTCCCCTTTGTTTTTTCTGTCGAACTGATAATCATGTATGTTCTCAGATTTGGGTGCCCAGACATTGAGGAGATTGAAAACTTCAACAATCTCTACAAGAAGAGATTAGATGAGGCTGGGAAAGCTGGAACAATACCTGCAGATATGGCTCTTGAGGCAATCACCAAACTTCCTCTCTTCTTGGTGCATTTACATACATAACACCCAATTCTTATGTATTTACATATCTTACCCCTAAACTTTGATTGTTACATTTATGCCACCCAAATCTTTCGCATCAACATAAAAAACATCACTATTTTAACTTTTAAAATGTGAAATACATGTCTGACAACATGGCATACATGTAAAAATCTAAGTTCAGGTGTTTATATATGTAAATACATCAGAATTGAATGGTATGCATGTAAATCATCCTATTTTCTTTCTTTATTGCTTCTTAGCAACAGGATCAGAGAATTACTCAATTAACCATGAATCAAACTCTTCCCTTTTTTTTTTCCTTTGATTCCTTCATAGGTATCATCTCCAGGAGCTGAAAGACTCCTCAAGGTGCCCCAAGATTTAAGTCGCTTCCAAAACATGCCTATGTGGGTCTGCTATCTGGAAGAGAACCAAAACCTCAAACTCCACAAGGAAACCACAGATAAAGTTCTCGTCCTCGAATCGATTGACAAAGAGTCCGAGTGCTGCGAGTTCAAGCTTGCTGATGTTAAGGAGAACAGAGCCAAGCTCGGTAAAGGCAGGCCCTTGAACAAGAAGCTGAAAGATTGGAGAATCATTCTTCCATTCAAATCCATTCTTAGAATAAAACTCTATTTAGATTCAAGCAAGTTATAAACATAGTTCCACCTGAAAACCATTCCCCCAAGAATCCCGACAGTGCCGTCGGCCGCCCTTCTAAAATAAGCTCTGCAAGGGCTGTTCCGGTGGCCGGCATGGCACCTCAGCAATGCCGTCCTTCATTGGGCTCGGCACTATTATGGCAATCTGATGCAGCATTACAGTTGTTGATTCTAGATCGCTGATAATATTTTCTCTCTTTTGGGAGCCCACATATGTAGACTTCATTTGTTTGATAAACTTTAATTAAGGTTATATGTTTCAAAGCTTTGGTTATATGTGAATGAAAAGTAGGGGCATTTGCCTACAAGCTACACAATTATTATATATTTACATATAGAACATCTAAATTTTTATATTTATAGAGATAGCACTCTAATTTTTAATATCACTATGATTATCTTTGATCGTGAGATAATCCAAATTGTTATAAATGTAATTATGAAATTTTTGGTGTTACATATTTAAATTATGATTCAACGTGAGTAATTTGCCTTTGACATGGAGATAAAGTTTTAAAAAACGTAATTTTTGAGGTCTTCTTCTTATGCTTTTACATAAATTTATGTCAACATGAAGTCTGGATTGTTAAATACCATTTTTAAAACAAATTTAGGGGTAATTTTTTTTTCAACTAAAATATTTTAAGTTTTAATTAACATCATATAAATATTTGATTATATTCATTCAAAAGCTCACCAAGCTAACCATGAACAATAATGCACAAAGCCAACACTCATCAACATGGTGGTAAGTAAATTAAATCCTGAGATTGGAAATATAATATTTCTCTGTGTTTTTCCTTAGCAAACAGAGTTTAATGCATATATAAACTTCATTCTTACACTTCAGATTCCAGCAAAACATAAACAGTCTTACCTGAAAGCCTTTCACCGGAGGAATCTCGACGGGCTGAAGGGATCCAAATTCACCGTTGTAGACCGTCCTTCTAAAATAAGCTCGGCTAGCGCTGCTCCGGTGGCCGGAGCGTTGAGAATACCCCAGCAGCTGTGGCCGGTGGCAACATAGCAGTTCTTGGTGCCGGGAATCTCACCAATGACCGGCAAGCTATCATCAGTGCAGGGCAAAAAGCAAGCTTGTTCGGCCACCGCCTCAGCGACGCTGGAGTTCAGGTGGCTTGACACTGAGCCGGCAATCTTATGCAGCATTGCGATAGATTCTGGCTCGCCCACAATATCCTCAGGATTGTCGGGAGCAGTGGCCTCCTTTGATGGCCCGCATATGTACACTTCTCCTGGTTCATAAATTTCAATTTACAGCGGTGATTAAAGAGTGAGTTCGTTTGATTGTTTGCAGTGAAAAAATTGTGCTGAAATATAATTAAATTTGTTGATTTTAAAGCTTAAAGGTTCTAAAAATCGAGACTGGACATTGAAATTGAACTGACATTGAAATTGAATAGGAGAGGTTAAATGTTCAAAGGTTGACCAGAGTTCAACCTGAAGACCCAATAAATTATAAATATATTTAAAAATGAAAATAAATCAGATTTAAATAAATATAATATTATTTTTTATTGATTAATTATAAATCATACTCATCACAGGATCAATATAAGGGTGCATTTAGAGAGGCAGTGCAGTGGTGGTGGTACGATGTCTCACCTTTGCTGGGCAAAATTATGTTTTATTTATTTTTTTTCAAAAAATTGCAGCTGAAATTTATATTTTGCTCCTAGACTTAACTAAATATGATGATTGTTGGAAAGCTATGATCTGACTTTTTTCAAAAAGTTGTAGCTGAAAACTATATTTTGCTCATAGACTAAATTAAATATGATGATTGCTAGAAAGTTACGATCTGACTTTTTTAACCCACAAAAAAAAAAAAATGCAGCCTAAACAGAAAAAAAATTAAAGACGAACGGTGTATAGATGTTAATTTAGTGGCATGGTGGTAGTTATTCATCACAATATCATTATAATACTAACATACTACCACAAATCCACAATTGCGGATTCTTCATCTAATATTACTCCCTAAACAGACCCTGAAACTTATAAATTATGAATTCATGTTTCTCGCTTATTTACCTGAGGGTCTGGGGTAGACCTCCGGGTCAACAGTCTTGCCTCCCGGGGTAATCTGGTAGCTAAGGAAAAGCGCATGGGGACTAATAATGGCCGGCTCCGGAGGCCGGAGGACAATGCTATGCACCTTGAGGCCAGATACATGGAACAGATCGGAGACTAGCCGCAGTCGACCCGACCACGGTCCGAGCGCAATCACCACCACATCCGCCGGCAACATCCTTCCATCTCGGAGCCGTACACCGGTTCCCCCAACTTGAACATCCCGCACCTCTCCAAACACCACCTCGACTCCATACTCCGCCGTAGCCGACGACAACACCGCCCTCGTGAACATCAGGGGATGAACCTGTGCGGTCGTCTCTAGGGTTCCGATCGTCCGCGGTCGTCCGGCGGCCGCTCCGTCGATCCAAGATGGGAGCGCCGGCGATCGTGATTCGGCGGGGCGTGGAGAGGGGGAGTGAAAGTGCGGTTGGGGGGCGGTATCCGTATGCGCGGGGGCCGTCTAGAAGATCTGAGAGGGATCGGTGGAGGTGGAAGCTGGCCCGGGCGAGCTCGGCGACGGGAGTGCCGTCGCACCAATCGAGGGCGAGGAAGCCGCCGGCCTTGCCGGAGGCGGCGCAGGCGATGGAGGATCTCTCGACGACGGTGATGGAGACGCGGGTGGAGGCCTTTGAAGCGAGGAAGTAGGCGGTGCAGACTCCGATGACGCCGCCGCCGCAGATTATTATGCGGCGAGGGAGAGGCGAGTTGGATGCGGTAATGGTGGTGGAGGGACCGGTGGCCATGGTTGAGGGAGCTATGCGGAGGAGGAATTGGGCAAGCGAATAGGTCGGCGGTTGCTTCGGAGTGATGAGAAGTGTGATTCTAGGAAAGAATTATCTGTATTGTACTTTGTCGTTTTTGGGGAAGGCGAATTCGATGAGATTTGACGGCGACCGCACGCAATCCGGAATGGGCTCTGAATTAAGAGAAATTATTGCACACGGACTGCTGCGGTATCTAATTCTGATCGTAGATCACGTGACTTATGATCACGGTGATCTACAATCAAAATATTTTTTTTTTTTCTTTAAAAAAAAATTTAGGTGAGGCCCACTGAAATACATCCTGACCGTATATCACCTGATCTACGGTCAGGATCGGACACCGCATGCAGAGAAGCATGACGTCCGTGTGGAATAATTTTTTTGTGAATTAGGCGAGCCGCTCCCATAAAGAACTAATGGGCCCAACTTTTGGAGCCACCAGCTCTAATTTGAGCTCGAACTTAGATTGGAGCTCATTTATTTAATAAAATTGGGTTTGAGCTCACCTGGTTGTCTCACAAGTTTGCTCAATTAGTATACCATTATATCACCCTCCTCTGACCATCAATTCCCTCTCCATTGAGCTCCATTAAAGATTAAATTTTTAGTTCAAGCTCACAAACCAACTGTTATCACTATGAGTTGAGCTCAAACTCATCATTCAAGCTCAACTCAAACAAGCGCATAATTTGACAAACGGGCCAATCTAATACTCCATTTGGGGCCGCATTTTTTGAGCGCCGCTACCGCAAACCGTATAAACCCCTAATCCATTGGATATTATTTAATTTAGGACTTGTATTAGAGTTTAGATGTTAAGAAAATACGAAGAGTTACAAGCATAACATCCAAACTTCAATTTATTTACATACCATCTTATCTGTCAGCGATGTATTTCATCTTTTAAAAATTAAAAAAATAATTTTTAATGCAATATGAAAGATTTGGATGATATAAATATAAAAAAATAAAATTTCAATGATTGGTATTTATGTACAGGCAACAGTATATTTAATCAAATATCTTGAGATTTTGATTGGAGCTCATTCAAAAGTTAAGAAGTACAGAAGTAGAACTTGTCCTCATCTATAGCAGACCTACAGATTAATAACATATTTTTGAATGAAGTAGATTAAATACTTCACAATATTACGAATGTACCGCAGAGATTGGACAAACTAGATAAAAAAATCAATAAAAAAAATTAAAACAATTTCATTGAACCAAAGTTGAAAAAAAATAAAATAATTTACTTCTTGCTAAGGTTGTTTAAAAACAGAAATTGGAAGTATTCCATTACCGTTGAACTGCCAAGTCCTACCTGTTCTTACCATGGCGATCAGCAATAAGATACAGACTTCTTCCTTCAATATCTCCTAACAGTATTGTAAATTATAATTGGTAAAACTGACGGCACTGTTACAGGATCAAGCAAACTCTTTCAACCACTTTACCCGCAAAAAGACCAATATGAAAATTCCACTGCAGATAATTTCTGGGCATAAACATTAAATAAGATGAATGACGATATGGCTGATTCTAAGGTGATTGTAACATTTTTTTTTAAAGCAATTTGCGATCATCCATTTAACAAAAGAAAGATGGAAGAAGGATGGGGAAGAAAAAAAATTTGGGAAAATTTTGTTATCACTGTACATTGATGGAGCCACGGCGGCGGTGCAGCCGTGACAGTTCTGAGAGCAGAGTCTCAGACAAGCACTGAACAAAGAAGAGCATCGGAAGTGTTATCTTCCGAAGCATAGAGAAAAGAGAATCAGGCCAAGTAGTTGTAAATCTGGGGATTGTTCTTGTCTCGCTCCAGGTACTCCCTATCAATAAGGCTCTCTATTCTCTTTTTCAAATCAACGGGTTTTATTGGAAATTTAAGCTGCAAAAAATGAAAATAAAAAGGTTAATATATGTTCAAAGACAAGGGTTAAGCTGCAAGAATGTTGGGTGGATTAATGCAATGCCTGTTGGAAGAGTTCAGTTATTAGAAGTGTGTGGCTAAGAACTTTTCTCGTCTTCATGATACGAACAATAGCAGCATCAACCTGTAATACAGGCACATTACTCAGTCAATAAACCCACATTGTCCATAAATAAACTAAAAAAAATAAATTTAATTTTTCCGTTGCATTACCAATGTTGTTATTGTGGTAATAATGAAAAATCCTGCCTTAACATATAGAACTAGCTGGAATCTAGGAAAGAAGAAATTTTGTTCATGCCTCGTTTAATAAAAATGTTGTGGCTACTGATGAAATTTAGGAAATCCTAGTTTCAAACTTGAAATAAATTTGACAGCAGTTCTGATTGCTGATATAACAAGTCCGCACTACTAAGTAGGTAAAAACAAAAGAAATAAAGAAAAAAAACATATCATTTGCAATGAGTGCTGATATGGATAATTGTCAACTAATATGCGGGTAATCATAATAAGATTGTTTCTTATTATTATTCAACTACTAGTGCTTGAAAAATGTAAACGTGCTGTCATTCTCTTGAAAATATCAATAGTTTTGGCTCTTTGAAGTTTGAATCTCATTTTAAGTCAATGTAGTAGCCGGTTTCAGTTATGTGATCCAAGCATTAGAATTCGTGCACTGAGAATAAAACCGACATAATGTCACAAGTGAGTTGCATCTTGAAGAATAGTGACTCAGTAAAGAAAGCGGTCGGGAGCACAATAAAATGTGAAGAGTATGAACGCACATGTTTGATGAACAAAAATGCCACGTGAATTTGTAGTGCTTAGGATCGAATAAAATGAATTTATGCGGCCGCCATGAGGATTTTATCCCACCCTTGATATTGAGGAATCCAACCCTATATATTCTTTGAGATAGTATGTGGTATTAATCAAACAAAATCCAAGAGTGTGTAACACTTGAGTATCACAGGCAAGTAAGAAAGTTTCTTTTTGTGAGTTATCTCAATGTTTCAAGCTTTGAAAATAAGTTGGCGTTTCTCAACTTACAGGAGAAGAGCAAGACTAATTTTAAGTGCAAAACAGAATAAATTTTTATTCATCGGATGATCAGACATGCATACTGAAAAAATAGTGAAAAAATATTAAAGGGCTTATTGATACAAAGAGGGTATAAATATCTATTACATGACTTACTGCTAAAGAAAGCAATAAAAACATAATACAGTGAGTAAGGAAAGAAATAATAACAAATATAATCTGCAGCTAATCTCACTAATTAAGGAGAAAAAATAAATAGAGATACCTAAGATCTCTCATATAATGTATAACCTTCTAAATATAGAGTTATAATAAATATGAAATATAATCATCATATTTGCGAACATGCCCTCAAGCTGACATGAAGATGTCACTCATGGCAAGCTTGTTAATTATATTCTCGTGTTGCACTTTGGAAATGTCTTTTGTTAGAATATCTAATGTTTGGCTAGCAGTGGGCATGTAGGACATACATATCACACCACTATCTATCTTCTCCTTGATGAAATGTTTGTCAACTTCTACATGTTTTGTTCTGTCATGTAGAACTGATTATGAGCTATAGAGATTGTAGTCTTGTTATCGCAGTAAACTTTAATAGGCGTTGGTATAGGAATCTTCAACTCTTACATGAGTCTTTTTATCCATAATACTTCACAGAGTCCATGGGCCACCGAACAGAATTCTACTTCAGCACTACTTCTTGCTACCACACTTAGTTTTTTACTTTTCTAAGTAACCAGATTCCCGCCTACAAAGGTACAATAACCTGATGCGGATCTTCTATCATTTACATCTCATGCCCAATCTGCATCTGTGTAGGTCTCTATTAGAAGATGTTCTCCCTTTTTGAACAAAAGTCCTTTTCCAGGAGTTCTTTTGAGATATCTCAAAATTCAGAATACAGCTTCGAAGTGAGTAGGTCCAAGTGAATGCATGAATTGACTCACAACACTTACTGCAAAGGCTATGTCAGGTCAAGTGTGAGCCAAATAGATTAGTCGCCCTACTAATCTTTGATAGTGTTCTTTGTCCATTATCTCATTAATTGCTGTTGTTTTCAATTTTATATTAGGTTCTATTAACGTATCTGCTGCCTTGCAACCTATCATTCATGTTTCTTTGAGTAAATCAAGTACATACTTGTGTTGATCGACAAAAATTCCCTCCTTAGATCTTGCAAACTCCATTCCGAGGAAATATTTCAACTTTCCCAAGTTTTTAATATCAAATTCGGCTTCAAGTTTCCTCTTTAGGTTGCTAATCTCCAGAGGATCATCCCCTGTCATGATTATGTCATCTAGATGCACAATCATAATGACTACTTTACCTTTGATGGAATGTTTGAAAAAAAGAGTGTGATCAGCTTGGCTTTAAGAGAATCCATGTCTCTTGATAACATCACCAAAACGCTCAAACCAAACTCTAGGAGACTGCTTTAACTCGTACAGCGACTTTTTTAATTTGCATACTTTACATTTTCCAAATTTTTCTTCAAATTCGGGTGATAAGTCCATATATACTTCTCGCAATTCTCCATTTAAAAACGCATTTTTTACATCAAATTGATGAAGTGGCCAGTTGAAGTTAACTGCAAGAGAAAGAAGTACTCTAATAGAATCAATTTTAGCAACAGGAGCAAAAGTCTCTTGGTAATCAATACCATAAGTTTGAGTAAATCCTTTTGCTACTAGTCTCACTTTGTATCTCTTCACACTTCCATCAACTTTAAACTTCACCATGAACTTTAAACTTCACCATGAACACCCATTTGCACCCAACCGTCTTCTTGTCTTTAGGAAGATCAATGACTGTCCAGGTGTTATTTCTTTTAAGAGCATTTATTCCATCACAGCTAATTTCCAACTCGGTTCACCTAATGCTTCCTGAACAGTTCTTGGAACAATAATGTTAGAAATCCTAAACACAAATGCTCTATGATTTTTTTATAGTTTTTCATATGACAAGTATTGTGTGATAGGATATTTCATGCTTGTTCGGATTCCTTTTCTAAAACCAATTGGAAGATCAAGATCAGAAGGAGTGAAAGTAGAGGGAATGTTACTCTGAGTTGTAGGGTCATTATTCGGCAAAGGTGATTCAACATCTGCTGAGAGAATAAATGGGGTTATAGTAACTTTATGGAATTTCTTCCCAGTATAAACCTGCAACTCATGCTGAGGATTATGATCCATTGGAAGTACTTCTCCCTTTGTCTCTGATAAGGTAACATCTGGCAAAATAGAATTAGTGGTGCTGACCCTAGTTTCCATATCGAAATTAGTTAAAGAAATAGGTAAAGTTTCCCAAAAATTATTTTCTTCAACTATGTTCTCCCGCTGAAGAAAATTATTTTGAAAAAATGGGTGATCTTCGATAAACTTGACATCCATGATCTCAAAAAATTTCTTTGTTTCAGGATTGAAGCATTTGTACCCACGTTTATCGGAAGCATACCCAATAAAAACACATTTTTCAGCTTTGGGATAAAGTTTTGAGCGAAACACATTTGGGATATGCACATAGCAAACACATCCAAAGACTTTTAAAGGGACATCAGTCGTTATCTTAGATGTGGAAAAACAGTTTTTTAAGACTTGTAAAGGTTCTTTAAATTTGAGAACTCGATATGGGCATTCTATTTATTAAATAACAGGAACTGAGGAGTGCATTATCCCATTCAAATCACTACAATCTGACTAAATGGTGAATTTGAAGCTATTGGTTTTACTTTTTAGCATGATCAAGATAGTTTACGTGCATTCCATGCAATGTCTCTTCTTCAATTAATCCTTCGGTATTTACACCTAAGATTTTATATTTATAGCCGTATGACTCAATTCCTGTGCTTTTATATATCTTTCACCTGAACTTCAATTTTTACATTCACGCCACCCTATCTATGCATGAAAGTGTATATTTTACTTTTTAGAAGTTCAATTGCTAGCATTTTTGTTGTGATATAAAAGATTTGGATGGTATATACACATGAAAGATTTGCATGGCATAAATGTAAAAATTAATGTATAGGAATTAATGTATAGGTGTGAATAATGTATAGGTGTGAAAATTCAGGAAATCTCACATGTATGCCACTTAACTGCTTACAAATGTATGTGGGATTTCAAATCCTACATAGCAGTAACTCTCATGAACTTATTTATCTAGCACCTGTTGAGCTTTGGGATAAAGTTTGAGTGTCATGTTGAGCTTTGGGGTAGCTTATGGTATGGAATTGTTGTAATTTTTTCTTTTAGTGATTCGACCTATTGGTAGCTGCCGGGCTGCACTGTTTGGGCCTGTTTGGTGACTGTCGAGCTGCACTACTTGGGCTTTATTGGTGGTTGTCAAGGCACTGGCTTTAAAACAGTTTTGACATTGTTTTGATAATGCTTTGGAACTGTTTATGAGTGTTTTTATTGACTGATTTGGAGAGATTTGCATACTGTTTTGAGATGAATTTAAAGGTTATTTTGAGGTGTATTGCGAGCCGGTGTTGGAGCAATTTTTACACCACTTTAGCACTGTTTTGAGCACCATAAATCACCATTTTGAGTGCCTTTGTCGGCTGGTTTTGGCACTATTTTGCCACCATTTTAAGGCATTTTTGTGGGCTGATTTGAGGCAATCCATGCACTGTTTTTGTGATCTTTTGATGGCTGATTTGGGCTAGCCTAGAATACTATTTTGGAGGCATTGAAGGTATCATTTTGGGGTTTGTTTCATGCATTGTTTTGAAGAGGTTTATATAGTCTTTAAATGTTGATTTACACGTGGTTTAGAGTTGGTTCTAGGGAGCCCTTTTTTCCCACTGTTTTAGGTTTCAATCGATAGTCATTTAAACGTTTTTTTAGGTCGATCCGCTTGTTGTTTCGCGCTGTTAGTTTTGGAAGTGGATCGACCTTTCCCTTTCTTTTGTTTTATTTCCCTTTTAACTGATTAAGTCAAAAAAAAAATGGGAGTTTCTGATTTAATCATTTGGAAGACACTTAGAAATATTTGAGGATTAGTTGGAAAACACTTAATTGAGGGTAGAACACCTTAAATCACTGCAAGCACAAGTTAGAAGTGTCGGCTTCCTAG